AGGAATGCTCATTACTTTAAGTAGATTTTGATAGAAATATGTATTCCTTTGTATTGTCCTGATTAATATTATAATGCTTTTGGTGCAGTGTAGCTCGAAAGAGGCAGATTTTGCAAACACTCAGGAAATGGTAAGCATTAATTTATTATACTGTCATCATTATATTTTCATATCCATCGCACTTCTTATTCCCTTTTTATTCAATCCACTGTTACTTAACAAGAATAAGACAGCCTGGAATAGCAATAATGTTAACGCTGTAACAGGAGACATTCACTGTTTGAGTCATTTCACTTCAACCTCTCAGCTTTGCATGCATGTATGCCTATGTAAGCTAAAAAGGGTCCATAAACAGGACATTGTCAAGACAGCTCTAAAGCTATAAAGATTGTGCTCCCTTGCGTTTAAATTGTTAGGCTTCTAGTGGAGTAAGGCATTGCACTGTGAGTAAATCTTGAGCTCTAATTTACTCTAATTTGAAGGTAATCTACTAAAACTAAAATTTAGGCAGAACAGTCTATGAAAGACCACTGGGCATAAAAATGAGACAGTGAAGCAGCCTCTCTTTACACTGCTCATATTTCAATGCAGCCACAAAAACTCTGCTGCATTTAGCAAGCTTTATTCCAGACCACGTACAGCTAGTCTGATAGTATTAAGCTTTCCCAAAATGAATGTTATCACTCAAAACACAGGACTCTCTGCACTAGAAAGCTCAAAAAAGGCTACTGTATTTATCTAATGTCAAAACTATGAGTAAACAGAGAATTTTACAGTCTAGCAAATCTATTCAGAGGAATACTCTCGAAGTGCACCCTCTGAATGAAATACTATTTAATTTCTGAGAAGAGGACTGTACAGGTGATTAGTGGCATTTGCGAGATGGGGATGATATGTACTTAGCTGGTCTTCAGATTCCAAACCGTCCAACCTAAAACCGCAGGATAAATATACAGCAGAGTCAGCCCTTATTCGATAGTCCCAACAGTTGCTTAGAGCTCAGTTCATAGATATGCTGAGCACTGCTGACCCCTGAAGGTTGAACTCATTGTGCGTTTCTAGACGGCAAACCAAGGAGCATTAATGAAGCATGTGAAAACATATGGTATTTTGTATCAGATGAAATGAAAGACCTTTGCATTGCTTTTTTTCTTTCCTTTGTAACCTTCTCCAAGACAAGGCTACTTCTGGGGGCTTTCTTGGAAAATGGTGTGCAAGATAATTTGCAAATCTTTAACTCCCTTTTTTTTTTCTTGAATTTGGAGTTTGGATCTGCATGGCAGTTGTTTATTTGTATACCAGAGTCTGATTGATAATTTTCCAGAGAAAATTGAAGCAAGCGATTTGGAGAGTTCCCTTGAGTTTATTGATCAGCTGCATCTCCTGAGTGTGGTGCCAGAATGGCTGGATGAATTTTTCCCCGTTACACATGCAGCCAAACAGCCTCACAGCCTTGCTCTCTGGCCTTCTCTTTTATGAATCTTCAAGGAAGTCAGTTAAGTTCACTTCATTTGATGCAGATCAAGTTTTTACTTAGTTCAGCACTCTGGATGAGGCACAAATGAGGCACCACAGAGCTTAGCAGAAACATACTTCATTATCTTCATGTGCTTGTGTTTTTGCATTAACTTTACATTTCAGTACCATTTAGAGAAACAAACAGGGATTATTTTTCTAGAGAAGACATAAATTAGACTTGTATCGATGAAAATCATGTTTGCCCTTGTAAAACAAGGCATGCAAAGTAAGCAGCCCATGTAAGATGGAGGGCCTCAGTCACACAGGATGGTTGGATTAAGAATTCAAGGTGACTCTGGAAAATTAGACTTGAAAAAATACAAGGATGATCTTTAACAGGACAAGGTTGAAAGCCATATGGATGTATGGGAGTAATTAACTGTCCCAGTATAAGATAAAGGACAATGGGCAAGGGAGCAGATCTGTGAAATAAAGTCTGAGCATCTGAACACAGCATTTAGCAACCTTTGCTTGCCATGCTGGCAAAGGCTCCCTCCACCTTCTTCCTCATCCTCCATCTCTCCCTGTGTCCTCTGCCTTTTGGCACCTCTGCCTCTGCCCTCCCCTCTGAGTCAGAGGGACTAGGAAGGCTGGAGGGGGAGCAGCAAGGGTGGTTTTGGAGAGAAGGGGCAGATCCAACATGTTGCTGCCTGTTGCCTGATCCGCTC